CAAGGTGAGGAAATGAGCAAATAACCTTCTGCGATCAACTTATCACACAGCTCCACTCTGTTCAATCCGAAATCGGATATCTTCACATCCCAATGATCACCAACTAGACAGTTCTTTCGATTGGAGAAAGCCGTGAAAATTGATGGAGGATTGGTGAAGATAAGCAATACCCTGAACAGTCAGCTAATCTTGGGCACAGAAAGGACTAAATTGAAGAATTCATTGGTGGTCAATCAATTCACGGAATGCGCCACACATTTGACTTGCGCTCAAATTTGTATTGACGTCTGTTGCGAATCAGGTCATACAACGAATTGGATGGCCAAGTTGCTGTAAAAGTCAATGTTTAGCTACCGAAGACCCGACTAACGGTGGATGGCTTCCTGAATTGTGCGAAAGTCAGCATCCTAAATTTTGGCACTTCTGATGGCAGGTAGCACTTGGCACTTCGCCAACCACCAAAAGCTAAATATGTCAGTGTTCCAGGGTTTCCGGTTTCTATATAGAATATTTTGTAGGGGCTCGGTAATTAACGCAAAGAACTATATTCAGAGATTGTCCATACATTTTCCAGTAGTTTTTGCTTCCATTGAGTTGGATCTGACCCTCCTATAGAGTAGTTCAGTCGTTTAATTCCTATCAGTATTGTACCATACTGGTAGCCACTTTTCTCTGCTTACAACAATGCAGTTCTGTAGGGGTAAATAATTCCTAACTGATGCCAATACCCGGAACAGATCAGCCTTATGTGCATGTAATGTACCAAAGTGTGTTGCAAAATGTGCAGTGTAGCCTGGTTCCGAACTAACGAGCCTAGCTTCAATTACGGGGTTTCAGAAGGAATCACCAGCAGAATCGGATTTATGCGTTTGGGAGCAAAGACGGATCACCTTCTTACTGAGCATATTTTCGCAGTTGTCTAGCTGCTTCCATTTTTTTTGTTAATTTTCCGCAAAAGAGTAGAACACTTTACCATTTGCCGCTAATATGAAGACACTCCGGAAAATAAACCACCAAGAATAAAAATTGTACCGAAGAACCCATTTAGGTGAATGCAAACACAAAAAATGCATCGATTCTCGCTGTATACTTCCTGATGACGTCATCAAAGCTTCCCCGAGAGCAATATTTCCACAACGAGAGCATTTGTGGTCCATCTCGACATATACCCACGAACCGATTCAGATGCTCGTGATCAAGATGGCGAATCTAAAGCTCGACCGTTTCGCTTCAATTTGTCAACGACAGCGCGGGACACATACGTCCCGCACTTTAATACACAGGACTTTCTTTATATAAAAATGTGCAACCATTTTCACGTTCAATTTATTTTCACGACCATTTTCTCTATATGTGTTGCCTCGAATACTCACCGTACGCCAATGTAGGCTGTCTCTCGCTCCAGTTTGAAGTTTTGATTCGTGCTTGTGAGCTGCTACAATTTCTCCCTTAATACTCAAGGTTGTGTAAGAGATTCAATACTTTTTAGATGACTTCACTTTATCGCTAAAACTTTAGAAATTTTTTTTATCCTGATTGCCCAAACGTGACGAAATGACAGATATCAGAACCGACACTAGGAGCAACCAATGACAGCAGATTTTTATGTGAATAGGGATCCCAAGATAATATCATATAAACCAAATAGTCACCTCATGAACATAGAATGTGTAGTTCCGACTGTTAGCGAGAGACCCTCTCCTTGCAGAATCTATCGTGACAACTCCACTCTGCAACGAGCGAGAGCTGGTATCTCTTTTCCTCTGAAAACTCCGACATGATAGAACTACTAGTTTGTTTCTTGATTCTTTTTTTTTGATTTACTGAACAAATTAAAACTAGATACCTTTTCTATTGGTTCCAGAGATGAGAACGGAATTCGCCACATCATATTCTGGCGCTCTCTTTCTAGTCTTCTCGCCCTGAAATCGAGTAATACCGGACGATTTAGATAATTGATGGGATTTATCATTGTTTTTGTTGGTCAGTAGTAGCCGTATATTGCAACGCAATTCTTAGTAACGAGCGTGCTGAAAAAGCGAAATATTTGACCTAAGCCAGGATTCGACCCCGAACTTGTGCTTTTCCGGCACCACGGAATTGCTTGAGCAAAGGCATGCTTACCACTGAAGCTGAAAAAAGTGCTCCTACTCGAATGGCAGTGGATAGCACGATGGCCACATAGCACATATCCGGGTTCGATTCCCTGCTGACGCTGAAGGCACTGACGTCATGTAAAATTTTGGGATACCCCCCCCCCGAGAAGGCCTGTCGCGCGGCAAGAAGGGCATGGTCGTCGGAAGAGTTGCGCGCGTGATGTGCGATGTAAAACGTGCAATGGGGCACTCTTTTGACTGATGGGAGCAATCGCCATCAGAGTCAACCCTGCGTTGCGCAGTTCTCAACGGCCACGTTGCGCAGTTTCGCCCGATTAGACACGTTCTCTCGCGCGAACATTCACACTCGCATGCTCGAGCCGTCTGTGTCTCCGCCCATACAGCGTGCGTTGAGGATCTCTCGACGTGCCGTTGCGAACTGCGCAACGCAGGGTTGACTCTGCTCCATAGGTGCGCGCGCGAATCGTTCGTGACTGTAGCATTTTTGAAGCGCGACGAGTGGCTCTTGGGGTGTAACAACAGCCTTTACGTTCTTATAGTGCATAGTTTCTAAAAATCAGAATTATCTTATGTTTCCGAAAGTGATCGGGACAGCCTGTGTGTTCATTTCATAGGTGTCTGTCGTGTTTCTACAGTAATTACCATCGATCATATTCCTCAGTATTAGTGGAAGAGGACACTACGATATTTTCCGTGTACGGAAAGGACGCGGGGACATGGGCCGACACGTTGCGTGATGGCACATATGCCACGGATCACCACCTTGTAGGAGGTATAATCTTTATGTTCTTAAACTGTGTCCATTGCAGTGAAGTTGGGGCTTTCTCGACCGATTAGATTGCTCGAATCCATAATAGCATACATTATACGAAGTTATAAGTGCAATGAGGACGACAAGCGTGGAGATTCCAGCCAAAACACCAGCAAATATGAACCATCCAAGATTTCGTCTGATAATGCTTTCTGGACACTGGAATCGAACACCATTGTATACCCTATTGAAGATGGTGTCATCAAAAACATAGCGATGTCCACCTCAAGGCCAGAAAAGCCGCATTTGGGTACCGCCAAAGGCCGTTGGCCTCGTCTCCACCACAGTTGAGTCTCAACGGTATACAAGGGCTTATAAGTCTGTAAAGACATTGAGTTCTCAGAAATAAGCAAAAAAAGGCTTCAGGTGGTTTGTACTGAAAAGTGATGTAAACCAACCCCGTCATGGTCCCTAACAAATACCATGCCATAGGTTTCCACTTCGTAATTGCTGTCCAGTGAATCGAAATAGAAGGATGGATAGCGGCTGTGATTCGGCCCGATCACGACTTTCTCGGAAAAACCTGAGTTCAAATTTGTTTTGAGAGGGGAACCGTACTATTCGAAAGCACTCATACTTTCAAATTCCATCATAACGTTGCCCATGATAACAAGCCCATCTCTTAGTGTTCCAATCTGAGGATTCAAGTCCAGCGTACGATTTAACGCAACGGCATACACGTATAATGCTTCATAGAGGTGTCCAGCGTACTGTGAGGCCTGCAATAGTTATAGATTACAGCACTAGTAGCGATCGAAGTGGTGTGTCATTCTGCTCGAAAATGAAACAAAAGGGGAGGGGGAGGAGGAGGAAGCTAAAGGAAATGTAGAAAACACTGGAAATCAGGAGATTCATTCCTTATGAGAACGCCCGTGGTACTATCAAGAGGCAGCAAGCGACGAGGAGAGGGAGACGCGAGAGAGCACGTTATACAAGAGGGCCCAGACGCAGCGTATATTACGAACGAATACAACGGACGCAACAGTCAGGGCAAAGTCTCACAACAGCGTCCTTTCGCAAACTTCCGAGTCTAGGCAGATCCCCTGTGCCACGACTCTTATGGTTAGGGACACGCTACCTTATCCGCGGAAAGAGTTACTATCAGGAATCAAGGAAGGAATATCGGAGGTCGAACAAGAAGAAACCTGCTTGGTGAAGAGTCAGGCGAACTCCTAAGCAGGGTGAATAACGGTCGAGGAATTCCTCGACCATCGCTCTCTGCTGTGCGAGAGTAGAGCCGATAGTGAATGTACGCGCGGAGAGCACAGACGGCTCGCGGGTGGCGAGAGTGAATATCCGCGCGCGAGAACGTAAAGGATCAGGCGAAAATCCTCGACGTGCCGTTGAGGAATCCTCGCCGATTGATTGCCGCCTCAAGCAATATTCACCTTGCTCCTAAGTCAAATTGTTGTGATACTTGCCCATGAAT